CTAGAAAAAGATATTTCTAATACATTGGACAATTTTTGGGTTTCTAGAAACAAACAAAAATTAAATTCTATAAAAATTGATTTGCTAAATCGAATTAAAAATCTTGACAAACCAGTAGCAGTTCCAATAATCGAAATTGAAACAAACAAAACGCGATTATGTATACACAATGATGAGACTAGAAAAGAATACTTACCAGAAAAGTATGATCCCTTGTTAAATGGGCCTTCCCGCGGAAGAATAAAAAAAGATATCACGTCGATAAACGATACTTCGATCAAAAAGTTGAGAGAGAAGGTTATGCTAAATAGACTTCATGCTTTATTGTTGATGTCTACTTTTGAAAAAAAGGAAAAAAAACCATTACAAGTTGGTGAGTTCTCAACTTTATCATCAAGTTTCAATTTAACGGATTCAGAACAACTAACAAAATTTTTAGTAAATGCAATTGAGACAGACGATAAAAAATCTTCTGCAATAGAAAAAATAGGTAAAGAAGAAATTGGTAAAAAAGTCCCCCGATGGTCATACAAATTAATAACTGAATTGGAACAAATATCGTATTTTACAAATCCACCAGATGATCATGATATTCGTTCAAGAAAAGGGATCAGTGTATTAATTTTTGAAGAACCTAAGACTCTCAAAGATAAGACTACAAACAAAGATAAGAATACAAAAGATACAAATATTCAAGCTATAAAATCCGACGATAATGAGAAAGATAAAAATATTAAAAAGAAAAAGGAAGATGAGGATAATAAGCTTTTTTTATTACGATATCCGCACCAATCTGATTTTCGCCAAGGCTTAATAAAAGACTCTATGCGAACTCAAAGACGTAAAATAGTTATTGAGGGACTTTTTAAAGCAAATGCGCATTCCCCTCTTTTTTTTGACAGGATGAGGAAAAAAACCTTTTTTTCTCTACCATACCTGGCTCAACTGAAACGGCTTTTTAGAAAATGGTCATCCATAAAAGAGTTTGGGATTTTAGAATCTACAGAGGAAAAAAAAATAATAATAAAAAGAGAAACCAAAAAGGAAAAAAAACGACGAGAGGAAATAGAACGGTTAGAGATAGGGGAAGCCTGGGAGACTTTTCCATATACCCAAATAATAAGAGGTTTTTTATTAATAACCCAATCAATTCTCAGAAAAAAGATTCTATTACCTTCATTCATAATCGGTAAAAATATCGGGCGTATGCTACTATTTCAAACTCCTGAATGGTCTGAAGATTTAAAGGGATGGAATAGAGAAACGCATGTGAAGTGTACTTATAATGGTATTCCGTTAGCTGACAAAAAATTTCCGGAAAATTGGTTGACAGAAGGTATTCAAATCAAAATTTTATTTCCTTTCTGTCTCAAACCTTGGCACGAATATAAATCGCTAAATTCTCGTGATGACTTTTGTTTTTTAACAGTTTGGGGAAGGGAAACAGAACACCCTTTTGGTCATCCACGACAAAAACCTTCGTTTTTTAAGCCTGTTTTTAAGGAACTTTACAAATTTGTAAAAGTAAAAATTAAATTTTTAAAAAAGTTTTCAAAAAAAAAACACAAGTTCAAAAGAAACAAGAACAATACACCCGAGTGTAATAAAAAAATGAAAAAGATGATCTAATAAATAACCAGATAATGAATCAACCCTTGAGTAAAATTGAAAAAATTACAGATTGGAAAAATTATTCACCGATAGACAAAATGCAGGCTATCACTCATAGGACAAGTACAATTAAAAAAAAACTAGAAAGAATTACGGAAGATAAGAAAAGGGTCACTCTAGAACTTGATATGAACCCTTACAAAAAAAGTTCGAGATTAGCCTTGTCAAAAAATTTTTGTCAAATGTTGAAAAAAAAAAAAAATAGATTAATATATAAATTTAATTATTTTATAAAATTATTTATTCAAAGAATATCTAATTGTATTTTTTTATATACTATATCTATTTGCCAAATGACTCAAAAAGTCTTTGTGGAATCAACAAAAATGAACTCTCTTTCAAATTCAAATATAAAAACGCATAATAATAAGCTTTATAAGGAAAATTCAGAGAGTTTTGGTGATTTATCCAACTTGTCACAAGCATATGTATTGTACAAAATATCAGAAAGGGGTTTTTTGAACGTACGTAATTTCATATCTGTTCTTCAACAAAATGGAACATCTTTCTTGATTAAAAAGAAAATAAAAGACTCATTTCATACACAAGGAATACTTCCATCTGAAGGAATAAAAAAACAACTTAAGCGGCCTAGAACGAGTCAATGGAAATTTTGGTTAAAAGGGAATTCTCACTACGATTTATCTCCTAATTTCTGGTCTGCCTTAAGATCACAAAAACAAAAATGGAGAAATAGGGCGAATCGCTATCGTAGGTCTAAACAAAAATATTTAGACAAAAGGACTTCCGGTAAAAAATTAAAATTAAATACTTACAGGAAACAAAAGGATGCTAACTCAGTCTTGAATAAAAAAACAAAAGATAATTTAAAAAAATGCTATCGATATGATCTTTTAGCATATCAATACATTCAGTATGAAAAAAATAGTGGAACCCCTCCAGGAGCTAAACGGGAAGCAATTTCTTATCATTACAAGATGTCACAAAACAACTTGTTTGCGATAACGAAAAATATTCCTATCACTAGTTTCAGAGGAAAAATAGAAAGGTTAAATATTCCATATCCAAAAAAAGATGTCGATAGAAAATATTTGAATTGGAAAAATATTGATTTTTCTCTTAAAAAAAAAGCGAATATTGAGTCCTGGATCACGGGTAATTATAACAATACTCAAAATACTCCAATTTTCACTTACAATTATCAATTAATTGATAAAATGGAAGAAATTTTGAAAATTGAGCAAATTTTTAAAAACGAAAAAGATCCTTTTGCTCTTTTGATTCAGAAAAATACCGAAATGAATCGACTCCATTCTAGAAATTCTTTATTGGATTGGATGGGACTGAATGAAGAAATACTCGACCGTCCATTAACGGCTGAGGAACTTTTGGTTTTCCCAGAATTTGTGTGGTTTGTTAATTTATATAAACTGAAACCATGGATTATACCAAGCGAATCACTTATTTCAAATTTGAATCTTAATGAAATGACAAGTCAAAAGACCGGTAAAACTCAGAAAGATAAAAAAGATAAAACTGAGAGTAAAAAAAAAGATAAAGCCGAGGGTCAAACCAAAAGTGAACCTGAGGGTCAAACCAAAGGTGAAACTCAGGGTGAAACCAAAGGTAAACCTGAAGGTGAAACCAAAGGTAAACCTGAAGGTGAAACCAAAGGTAAACCTGAAGGTGAAACCAAAGGCGAAACTGAAGGTGAAACTGAAGGTGAAAAGAAAAGTCAAACTGAGATAGAACTAGAGTTATTCATGAAAAACTATTTATTTTTTCAATTTAGAGAGGATTTTACTTTAAATCAAGGCCTTTTCCAAGATCTCCAAATCTATTGTCTCTTGCTTAGAATGATAAATCGAAAAAAAATGATGCTATCATGGATTCTAAGGGAAAAGTTAAATTTGGGTCTAATGCCACAGATGGATCAGAAAGAGAGTGTTCCAGATTCAAAAAGAAATGTTCCAGATTCAAAAGAGAGTGTTCCAGATTCAAAAGAGAGTGTTCCAGAATTTTTAAAAAAGACGGGATTTTTGGTCGACCCCCTTCCGCTGTCTATCAAACCAAATGGAGAATTTCTTATGTATGAAACGATAGTTATTTCGTTGGTTCATAAGAGTAAACAAATTCTTAATAAAGAAGACGTAAAACAAAGAATAATTCGCGCTCGAGAGAACAATAATTGTGATCCGCTTCTTATTGAAAATATTTTATCATCTAGGCGTCGTAGAGAATTAAGAACTCTAATTTGTTTCAATTCACACAAATGGAATGGCGTGGATGCAAATTCTCTAGTTTCCAACAAAAATAAAGTTTGGGAAGAAAGCAACCCTGGGCCTAAGGATCAAAATAAATTAATTGAATTTTTTCTTTGGCCTAATTATCGATTGGAAGATTTAGCTTGTATGAATCGTTATTGGTTTTATACTAATAATGGGAGTCGTTTCAGTATGTTAAGGATCCATATGTATTTACCATTGAATTTAAATTGGTGGAAATTTAATTGATAGTAGTACTATCTACCCTGTAGCAGGGTAGATGGTAGCAGGTTAGATGAAAACCAATATGGACACATACCCTATTTTATACCTCATTTTAATTTGGATCTAACTGAATTGAGGATACCATATATCTATCTAGATCTATATAGATATATTGTACCTCATTAAAAGAATATTAAGTTGAAAAAATTCACTTTGATTTTATTAATGAACCCTAAAAGAAAGGGTTTTCTTTTGATTTGAATTGATAGACTTAGTTAGAAGAATTCCTTTTTAGCAATAAATGTCTTTCACATCCAGTGATAACCTGTAAATCATTTGAAATGGCAGTTCCAAAAAAACGTATTTCGAAAGCCAAAAAGCGTATTCGTAAGAACATTTGGAAAAGAAAGACTATTGAGGTAAGATTAAAAGCTCTTTCATTAGCAAAATCTCTTTTAACGGGTAAGTTTCAAAGTTTTTTTTACAAAAAAAATAAGAAAACATTGGACTCATTTCTGTCAAGTTGATTTATTCTATAATATAGAATAAAAGTAAATAATATTATCCTTTTTTTCTTTATTTTTTGTTCGTTCGTTTTAGTTACTAATCAATTATTTCATATCTATGAAATGAATCTAGAACTTAATTATAAAAAATTATTTTAAATGCATATTATATATCAATGAAGGGAGTTCATTTAGTTTATGATAAAAAACTTACAAAACAGAGGTTCCGTTGAATTTCAAGTATGGAATTTCACCAATAGAATACACCGGCTTACTTCCCACTTGAAATTGCACAAAAAAGACTATTTATCTCAAAAAGGTTTACGTAAAATTTTGGGGAAACGACAACGACTTTTAGCTTATTTATCAAAAAAAAATAAATTCCGCTATAAAGAATTAATTGATAAATTGGAGATTAGAGAGACAAAAACTCATTCATTTTGAAGTTGCATAGCTTTTCAAACCTATTATAGAGGTAAATTTAGAACAACAATATGGTTACTGAAACAATTAAAAAAGAATAGCTTGGGGTAGTGAATAGAAAGACATCATGTCCTTTTGTCTATTGATTCTTACTGTATAAATTTGAAGGGAGTATTTATTTAAAACTTTAAAACAATAGATTGAGTTAATTAAAAAAAGAATCCTTATTTACCCTATTAGGTAGTTTGTAGGTAGTTTGCGTAGTTATAAAAAAATGATAATATTAAAACATAAAATAATTTTTTTTTATTTTCAAAACCAATCCAGAAATCTATTGATTAGAATCCTTCTGAGAATTCATTGAGTCATATAGTATCTAAAAACCAAGTATCTTATAATTTTATATTGGATAAAAATAATATTTGGAGGATACTATATCGATAATTCATAAAGTTTATAAATTTATTCGTCCAATGGCACATTCTGTAAAGATTTATGATACATGTATAGGATGTACTCAATGTGTCCGAGCCTGCCCCACCGATGTTTTAGAAATGATACCATGGGACGGATGTAAGGCTAAACAAATTGCTTCTGCTCCGAGAACAGAAGACTGTGTAGGCTGTAAAAGATGTGAATCCGCCTGCCCAACAGATTTCTTGAGTGTTCGAGTTTATTTATGGCATGAAACAACTCGCAGTATGGGTCTCGCTTATTGATCTGGTCCAGAAAAGTATATTTGAATTCATTCTATTTTTATTGAACACCCGTGCTCTCAAATAGGAAATTTCCTATTATGAGAGCACGGGTGTTCAATAAAAATAGAATGAATTCAAATATACTTTTCTGGACCAGATCAATAAGCGAGACCCATACTGCGAGTTGTTTCATGCCATAAATAAACTCGAACACTCAAGAAATCTGTTGGGCAGGCGGATTCACATCTTTTACAGCCTACACAGTCTTCTGTTCTCGGAGCAGAAGCAATTTGTTTAGCCTTACATCCGTCCCATGGTATCATTTCTAAAACATCGGTGGGGCAGGCTCGGACACATTGAGTACATCCTATACATGTATCATAAATCTTTACAGAATGTGCCATTGGACGAATAAATTTATAAACTTTATGAATTATCGATATAGTATCCTCCAAATATTATTTTTATCCAATATAAAATTATAAGATACTTGGTTTTTAGATACTATATGACTCAATGAATTCTCAGAAGGATTCTAATCAATAGATTTCTGGATTGGTTTTGAAAATAAAAAAAAATTATTTTATGTTTTAATATTATCATTTTTTTATAACTACGCAAACTACCTACAAACTACCTAATAGGGTAAATAAGGATTCTTTTTTTAATTAACTCAATCTATTGTTTTAAAGTTTTAAATAAATACTCCCTTCAAATTTATACAGTAAGAATCAATAGACAAAAGGACATGATGTCTTTCTATTCACTACCCCAAGCTATTCTTTTTTAATTGTTTCAGTAACCATATTGTTGTTCTAAATTTACCTCTATAATAGGTTTGAAAAGCTATGCAACTTCAAAATGAATGAGTTTTTGTCTCTCTAATCTCCAATTTATCAATTAATTCTTTATAGCGGAATTTATTTTTTTTTGATAAATAAGCTAAAAGTCGTTGTCGTTTCCCCAAAATTTTACGTAAACCTTTTTGAGATAAATAGTCTTTTTTGTGCAATTTCAAGTGGGAAGTAAGCCGGTGTATTCTATTGGTGAAATTCCATACTTGAAATTCAACGGAACCTCTGTTTTGTAAGTTTTTTATCATAAACTAAATGAACTCCCTTCATTGATATATAATATGCATTTAAAATAATTTTTTATAATTAAGTTCTAGATTCATTTCATAGATATGAAATAATTGATTAGTAACTAAAACGAACGAACAAAAAATAAAGAAAAAAAGGATAATATTATTTACTTTTATTCTATATTATAGAATAAATCAACTTGACAGAAATGAGTCCAATGTTTTCTTATTTTTTTTGTAAAAAAAACTTTGAAACTTACCCGTTAAAAGAGATTTTGCTAATGAAAGAGCTTTTAATCTTACCTCAATAGTCTTTCTTTTCCAAATGTTCTTACGAATACGCTTTTTGGCTTTCGAAATACGTTTTTTTGGAACTGCCATTTCAAATGATTTACAGGTTATCACTGGATGTGAAAGACATTTATTGCTAAAAAGGAATTCTTCTAACTAAGTCTATCAATTCAAATCAAAAGAAAACCCTTTCTTTTAGGGTTCATTAATAAAATCAAAGTGAATTTTTTCAACTTAATATTCTTTTAATGAGGTACAATATATCTATATAGATCTAGATAGATATATGGTATCCTCAATTCAGTTAGATCCAAATTAAAATGAGGTATAAAATAGGGTATGTGTCCATATTGGTTTTCATCTAACCTGCTACCATCTACCCTGCTACAGGGTAGATAGTACTACTATCAATTAAATTTCCACCAATTTAAATTCAATGGTAAATACATATGGATCCTTAACATACTGAAACGACTCCCATTATTAGTATAAAACCAATAACGATTCATACAAGCTAAATCTTCCAATCGATAATTAGGCCAAAGAAAAAATTCAATTAATTTATTTTGATCCTTAGGCCCAGGGTTGCTTTCTTCCCAAACTTTATTTTTGTTGGAAACTAGAGAATTTGCATCCACGCCATTCCATTTGTGTGAATTGAAACAAATTAGAGTTCTTAATTCTCTACGACGCCTAGATGATAAAATATTTTCAATAAGAAGCGGATCACAATTATTGTTCTCTCGAGCGCGAATTATTCTTTGTTTTACGTCTTCTTTATTAAGAATTTGTTTACTCTTATGAACCAACGAAATAACTATCGTTTCATACATAAGAAATTCTCCATTTGGTTTGATAGACAGCGGAAGGGGGTCGACCAAAAATCCCGTCTTTTTTAAAAATTCTGGAACACTCTCTTTTGAATCTGGAACACTCTCTTTTGAATCTGGAACATTTCTTTTTGAATCTGGAACACTCTCTTTCTGATCCATCTGTGGCATTAGACCCAAATTTAACTTTTCCCTTAGAATCCATGATAGCATCATTTTTTTTCGATTTATCATTCTAAGCAAGAGACAATAGATTTGGAGATCTTGGAAAAGGCCTTGATTTAAAGTAAAATCCTCTCTAAATTGAAAAAATAAATAGTTTTTCATGAATAACTCTAGTTCTATCTCAGTTTGACTTTTCTTTTCACCTTCAGTTTCACCTTCAGTTTCGCCTTTGGTTTCACCTTCAGGTTTACCTTTGGTTTCACCTTCAGGTTTACCTTTGGTTTCACCTTCAGGTTTACCTTTGGTTTCACCCTGAGTTTCACCTTTGGTTTGACCCTCAGGTTCACTTTTGGTTTGACCCTCGGCTTTATCTTTTTTTTTACTCTCAGTTTTATCTTTTTTATCTTTCTGAGTTTTACCGGTCTTTTGACTTGTCATTTCATTAAGATTCAAATTTGAAATAAGTGATTCGCTTGGTATAATCCATGGTTTCAGTTTATATAAATTAACAAACCACACAAATTCTGGGAAAACCAAAAGTTCCTCAGCCGTTAATGGACGGTCGAGTATTTCTTCATTCAGTCCCATCCAATCCAATAAAGAATTTCTAGAATGGAGTCGATTCATTTCGGTATTTTTCTGAATCAAAAGAGCAAAAGGATCTTTTTCGTTTTTAAAAATTTGCTCAATTTTCAAAATTTCTTCCATTTTATCAATTAATTGATAATTGTAAGTGAAAATTGGAGTATTTTGAGTATTGTTATAATTACCCGTGATCCAGGACTCAATATTCGCTTTTTTTTTAAGAGAAAAATCAATATTTTTCCAATTCAAATATTTTCTATCGACATCTTTTTTTGGATATGGAATATTTAACCTTTCTATTTTTCCTCTGAAACTAGTGATAGGAATATTTTTCGTTATCGCAAACAAGTTGTTTTGTGACATCTTGTAATGATAAGAAATTGCTTCCCGTTTAGCTCCTGGAGGGGTTCCACTATTTTTTTCATACTGAATGTATTGATATGCTAAAAGATCATATCGATAGCATTTTTTTAAATTATCTTTTGTTTTTTTATTCAAGACTGAGTTAGCATCCTTTTGTTTCCTGTAAGTATTTAATTTTAATTTTTTACCGGAAGTCCTTTTGTCTAAATATTTTTGTTTAGACCTACGATAGCGATTCGCCCTATTTCTCCATTTTTGTTTTTGTGATCTTAAGGCAGACCAGAAATTAGGAGATAAATCGTAGTGAGAATTCCCTTTTAACCAAAATTTCCATTGACTCGTTCTAGGCCGCTTAAGTTGTTTTTTTATTCCTTCAGATGGAAGTATTCCTTGTGTATGAAATGAGTCTTTTATTTTCTTTTTAATCAAGAAAGATGTTCCATTTTGTTGAAGAACAGATATGAAATTACGTACGTTCAAAAAACCCCTTTCTGATATTTTGTACAATACATATGCTTGTGACAAGTTGGATAAATCACCAAAACTCTCTGAATTTTCCTTATAAAGCTTATTATTATGCGTTTTTATATTTGAATTTGAAAGAGAGTTCATTTTTGTTGATTCCACAAAGACTTTTTGAGTCATTTGGCAAATAGATATAGTATATAAAAAAATACAATTAGATATTCTTTGAATAAATAATTTTATAAAATAATTAAATTTATATATTAATCTATTTTTTTTTTTTTTCAACATTTGACAAAAATTTTTTTGACAAGGCTAATCTCGAACTTTTTTTGTAAGGGTTCATATCAAGTTCTAGAGTGACCCTTTTCTTATCTTCCGTAATTCTTTCTAGTTTTTTTTTAATTGTACTTGTCCTATGAGTGATAGCCTGCATTTTGTCTATCGGTGAATAATTTTTCCAATCTGTAATTTTTTCAATTTTACTCAAGGGTTGATTCATTATCTGGTTATTTATTAGATCATCTTTTTCATTTTTTATTACACTCGGGTGTATTGTTCTTGTTTCTTTTGAACTTGTGTTTTTTTTTGAAAACTTTTTTAAAAATTTAATTTTTACTTTTACAAATTTGTAAAGTTCCTTAAAAACAGGCTTAAAAAACGAAGGTTTTTGTCGTGGATGACCAAAAGGGTGTTCTGTTTCCCTTCCCCAAACTGTTAAAAAACAAAAGTCATCACGAGAATTTAGCGATTTATATTCGTGCCAAGGTTTGAGACAGAAAGGAAATAAAATTTTGATTTGAATACCTTCTGTCAACCAATTTTCCGGAAATTTTTTGTCAGCTAACGGAATACCATTATAAGTACACTTCACATGCGTTTCTCTATTCCATCCCTTTAAATCTTCAGACCATTCAGGAGTTTGAAATAGTAGCATACGCCCGATATTTTTACCGATTATGAATGAAGGTAATAGAATCTTTTTTCTGAGAATTGATTGGGTTATTAATAAAAAACCTCTTATTATTTGGGTATATGGAAAAGTCTCCCAGGCTTCCCCTATCTCTAACCGTTCTATTTCCTCTCGTCGTTTTTTTTCCTTTTTGGTTTCTCTTTTTATTATTATTTTTTTTTCCTCTGTAGATTCTAAAATCCCAAACTCTTTTATGGATGACCATTTTCTAAAAAGCCGTTTCAGTTGAGCCAGGTATGGTAGAGAAAAAAAGGTTTTTTTCCTCATCCTGTCAAAAAAAAGAGGGGAATGCGCATTTGCTTTAAAAAGTCCCTCAATAACTATTTTACGTCTTTGAGTTCGCATAGAGTCTTTTATTAAGCCTTGGCGAAAATCAGATTGGTGCGGATATCGTAATAAAAAAAAGCTTATTATCCTCATCTTCCTTTTTCTTTTTAATATTTTTATCTTTCTCATTATCGTCGGATTTTATAGCTTGAATATTTGTATCTTTTGTATTCTTATCTTTGTTTGTAGTCTTATCTTTGAGAGTCTTAGGTTCTTCAAAAATTAATACACTGATCCCTTTTCTTGAACGAATATCATGATCATCTGGTGGATTTGTAAAATACGATATTTGTTCCAATTCAGTTATTAATTTGTATGACCATCGGGGGACTTTTTTACCAATTTCTTCTTTACCTATTTTTTCTATTGCAGAAGATTTTTTATCGTCTGTCTCAATTGCATTTACTAAAAATTTTGTTAGTTGTTCTGAATCCGTTAAATTGAAACTTGATGATAAAGTTGAGAACTCACCAACTTGTAATGGTTTTTTTTCCTTTTTTTCAAAGTAGACATCAACAATAAAGCATGAAGTCTATTTAGCATAACCTTCTCTCTCAACTTTTTGATCGAAGTATCGTTTATCGACGTGATATCTTTTTTTATTCTTCCGCGGGAAGGCCCATTTAACAAGGGATCATACTTTTCTGGTAAGTATTCTTTTCTAGTCTCATCATTGTGTATACATAATCGCGTTTTGTTTGTTTCAATTTCGATTATTGGAACTGCTACTGGTTTGTCAAGATTTTTAATTCGATTTAGCAAATCAATTTTTATAGAATTTAATTTTTGTTTGTTTCTAGAAACCCAAAAATTGTCCAATGTATTAGAAATATCTTTTTCTAGTGACAAAAGGGGTATCTTTGTTTTGATTATTTGAAAAAACGTTGATAAACTTATCGGATGGGTAAAAGATATTCTATCTTTTCCATCACTTTTATGTATGTCAAAGAAATATTGTGCCATTTCGTTTCTTACAGCTTGTTCAAGTCTATTATTTTTTATGTAACGAAATGGGCGAGTCCATCTTTTATAATCAAAAAGAAGAGCCACAATATGTTCTTTATTTTCATTTTTTTCAAGGATTTCCAATTCGGAATCAGACCCTTCCAAGTCTGGTTCATTTACCTTCAAGTCCAATTCTTTTTCCAAAATACCTTTTTCTTCGGAAAAAAGGGAAGGATCTTTTTCAGCGGATTTCTTTTTTTTTTCTACGTCTTTTTCTTCCTCCCTTTGCAACCTTTCCTTTTCCCTTTGTTCTATTTTTGAGACCTCACTAAATTTCTGAGTAGGAATAGGTAAGGGTGTTCTGCCTAAAGACTGAATACTTAGAATACATACTAGAGTTCCAAAACTATAATTTACTAAAATAAAAAATATAGAATTTCTCACTAGGTACTTTCGAATGATCGACCTAATAACATTATTTTTCTGTATCCAGACTGCTAAAAATTCCAAGCAATTTATGACTAAAATTTGTCCCATTCCCCAAGCAAACAAACTGCTTGTTACAAACAACATCTTATTATTACAGCGAAACAGATAAATGCTTACTAATCGGGCTAACGTTGAACTTGGTAAAATGCAAGTGTTAAGCAACTGAAAAATAAGATGATTGAGGAATACAAAGATATTCTCTAGCTCACGGATCGAATTTTGGTTATTAGATCCA